GTCTTTGGAGGAAGAAGTTTTGCTTTTAGCTGTCGCTCTTGATGAAGACGAAGGTGAATCCCAGTGAGTATTTTACTGAACACTAAATCTGCGTGGTCCTTTTCCTCCACATATTCAGTATGTCACATATATGTACAAATATTTACAATTTCATAACGAGTCTCTAATTAAGTATGTATAAGTGGTTGCTATGTGTGTTCCTATTTTAGGCGAAAGAGACTAATCGCTTGGGTTCGTGATATAAACTTGTCAAGAGAGGAACTGGGGGAGTTTTATACACTGATACCCCAACTCCTGAAGGACGAAAAACGGTTCTACATATATTTCAGGATGAATATTGACAGGTTTGATGAAATCCTGAGAGCCGTCAGGCAAGATATCACTAAACAGTATACCAATTGGTGGAGGCCTATTCTTGCCATGAAGTGGAGGATTTTTTTGAGACTCATAGAACTGAAAGAAGAAAATATAAAACACATTGTATCAGCAGCATATTTGCTTCATAATTTTCTACGTCTCAAAAACTGCGATGAAAAGTACAGGGAAGAACTGCTACGAGTGGAGCCATTAGAAGGAGAAATGTATCATATCCAACCTTTACGTCTCCCAAGGGCGGCAAACGTTAGCTACGCCATTAGAGAGCGGTTTGTTGCATACTTCAACTAGATGACTGTCCCTGGAATTCGTGTTAGTGAACGGAACTGGTGCATAGCCTACATTAAGAATGTCCATAGTTACTGTATACTTAACCCTATATAAATATATACAAATTTTTCTACTTGCTGTCTCTGTTCATTGTAACGAGTGTCGTACAGTAAAGCATTTTCTTTGACGAACTCTTATTATTTGTTCCATTTGGCTACCCATGTCGTTTCAAGTAGGTATAGATACTGACTGAGTGTGAGTCATGGCTAGCTGGTTATCGGGTGTCGAGGCTGTGTACGCGGCCCACTCGGTAAACAACCACTTTCGTCCCAATCGTATCATGTCTGTGTGTGGGAGCTGTAAGGCTTCTTATATACATGCATGCAACACGCCACATGTCACATGCTTGAAGTCAGGCGTGTGGCATGTAAGTATAAAATTTCCATTTTATAGTTTTATCAGTCGAGCGTGTTCCATGGCAGGGTTCGCAACTAAAGCAGTCGCTGCTTTATGAGAAGATGGCAAGAAAAGAAAAGAAGAAAAGGCGTTTCAGTGTTCATCCTCTCAACATTCAAAGAGACTTGAAAGGAGCTTTCATAACCCTGTACGCTGACTTACGAAAATATGAAATAAAGTTCTTCAATTATTTTAGGATGAGCCCCAAAACATTCGACGAATTATTTGGGAAAGTTGAAAGTCATTTTCGTATTACAAGGACCCACTCCATGCCCATTAGTCCAATGGAGAGACTTTGTGTAACTCTGAGGTAAGCTTATTTTCTGTTTCATATAGACATAGAAAGTACAATTAAAACCTCCAAGGTCAGATTATTGAAACATTATTTTAATTATCACATAAACAAATACATTATATTTAGAAGTTTAAACTAACTAATTAACTAACTAACTCCATGGAGCTGAGCACTACTCGAGAGGCAGTTTTATCTTTCAAAAATGTTCATTCTCTCTTATGGATGGACCTGGATCAGATTGTTGTTTGTGGCTGTAAATGATTTGGGATGGATCTGGATTATATGAATGATATTGCGGATATGAGGCATGAGAACCAATTGGAGTGGGCGGTGCATAATTTCCTCGTTTTATTTTCGTTATCAATTGTAGTACCCCACTTTGGAAATCCAGTTTTTGATCTTCGTCAAACCCTCTGACATGTGGGAGCAGGGATAACAAGAATGCCCGGTCAGCGTCTTCTTCTGTTTCTTTGCTGCTTTTTAATAGAGCCAGAAGGTTTTCACCAAAATCGTCCAGTTTTTGTTTCTTTTTCTCCCGATTCTTGACAGATTCGGTGAACTTCCTTCTGGCTGCATCTTGAGCATCTGAATCGTCATCACGAATGTCATCTTCGTTAGTTTCACTATTATGAAAAACTTCACTAATATCCTCATCTTCTGCAGCTTGTTCAAAGTTAGAAATGGTAGACCTTTGTTGTATTTTGTCTAGAAATTGCATTTGTTCATAATATATGTATCTAATTGCCTTGCATGGCGCTGACCCAGATTTCAGAACTTTAACTTTTCCCTTCGCCTTCATGTAGGAATCCCTTGAGGATTTCCATCTGGAACGAACTTTTTCAACTGAAAAGAAACAGTTTAAATTAATAATGTAT